GCGGAGAGAATTTATGTTGTGAAGAAAAATCTGTTTCATTTGGAATCGAATTTTTTATAATTTCAAATGATAGAATTTATTCATTCCGGAATAAAATTGTCAGCACAATAAATTTTATTAAAGATGTTCTTTAAAGAGACACAAACTGAGAGCTAATACTCCTGCGATTTTTCGTCCCTGAGCGGTAGGTGAACGTGTACAGGGCTATTTCATGAAAAATAAATTCAGTAGAATTTTTTTGGATATCTGATTGTTTCTGATGACGCGATATTTTAGGAATTAAAGATAAAAATTATTGCGGAGAGAATTTATGTTGTGAAGAAAAATCTGTTTCATTTGGAATCGCATTTTTTATAATTTCAAATGATAGAATTTATTCATTCCGGAATAAAATTGTCATCAGCACAATAAATTCCATTAAAAATGTTTATTTAAAGATGTTCTTTGAAGAGATACAAACTGAGGGCGAATACTCCTGCGATTTTTCGTCCGTAAGCGGCAGGTGAACCTGCACAGGGCTATTTCATGGACAGAAATCAAAGAATTTATTTTAGAAATTGCGAATGAAAATTATTTGAAGTAGAGTTGAGGTTGTTTAAAATGAAGAAAGGTCTGTTTCATTTGGAATCGGATTTCTCTATCTGATTTCAAATGGTAGAATTTAGTCTACCAGAATTGAAAAAGGACATCAACACTAAGGGTGGCGGTAGTTTTCAAAAATATCTGATTATTTGTGACAACACGATATTTTAAAGCGGTAAAACGATTCAAGTTGAGTTTCGAGGAAAACGTTATCTCCGAATCTAAGAGAGATGGCGAAATTTTCGTAATGACATTTTTTGTAGCTCTCAGGCAGCTTTACAAAAAAGATTCTAACAAAAATTTTGCTATGCGCCTTCGATTCCGAGATATTCATTGAAAACTGATCAATAGTGAAAATCGACTTAAACCGTTTTACCGCTTCGCTACTGATTTTAGGAATTACGAATGAAAATTGTTTCAAATAAAATTTCTGTTGTTCAAAATAAATAAAAATCAACGTTTCATTTGGAATCGAATTCCTCTATCTGATTTCAAACGGTAGAATTTATTCCTTTCCGAATGAAAATTGTCATCAGCACAAAAAATTTTACACTCACGATTTTGAATAATTCCCCTCAACAATACGACGTTTTTATTTCCCCGTCGTAATTATCTATGTTCTTTAAGGAGCCACTCACCAACAAGAAATGCACCCGCAGACCCGGTTGATTACGTACTTCACCGTTAGATAATTGACGGCATAATATTATTAACATTAAAACATCGAGATAAATGAAATTGAAAGAAATCTCGTCCTTTTGAATTTTTTTCTCCCACAGCGTCGCATTTCCCCCCACCGGACAACTTTCACTCTGGCCAGTGTCCAGGGGATAAACAGGCGCCAAACTATCGACAATTTGCATTGAAAAACCAATTGGCTATCTATCCCAACAATATTTATTATGTTTTTTACTTGAAGTGTTGAATTTTTTTCTAGACCCATTGCATTACTCAGAATTTCCTTGGAAAGTCGTGAAATAATGATTATTAGATAATTAAAAATATGAATTAGGGTCTGAAAAAGGGTAATGCTCGCATATTTAATAAATAAAAATACAAAATACTGGAAAAAATAATTTAGATAGACAATTTGGACAGTTTAAACAATTTACACAGTTTCGTTAAAAAAATGAAATGAATAAAATTCACTCAGAAGTAATTTTCAAGAAATAATTTCCTCTCCTCGAGAATATCTACCTCAACAATATTTATTATTCATTTCATTTCACGTATTGATTTTTTTTCTAAACCTATTGTATTCGCTAGAATTTTCGTAAAAATTCATGGAAAAATGCCAATTAGATTATTAAAACGTTAGCAAAATGTGATTTTCACGAAAAATGAAACGGTTTCATTAACAATTCATTCAGTGGTAATTTTCAACAAATAAATTCCTCCCCTCGTGAATATTTAACGATTATTGGTTTTATGAACACGATATTCTAAAATTCATTAATTCTTTATGCGTTTTAGTCGTGAGATATTCGTTGCTTTACCCCCACAATATTTACTATTCATTTCCCTTGAAGTATTCATTTTTTTTCCGCGCTCTCTGAAATTTCCCTAGAAATTCATTAACAAACGCCAATTAGATAATTGAAAATACGTAAAAAAATGTTAAAAAAAAGTAAATATGCAGCTGTAATCCGCAATATTCACATAGGCAATCAACAAAAAAAGCAAAATAAATAACGATCTATTCATCGAAACGTGTTTTCCCAAAAAACCAAAACAGTACAATAAAAAATCAGAATAAAATCCCTTCAGAGGTAATTATCAAGAAATAAATTCCTCCGCTCGTGACAATTTACCTCAACAATAAACAAACACCCCAACAATATTGATTATTCATGTCCCTCGAAGTATTTAATTATTTTTTCCGCGCCCTCTAGAATGTTCCTAAAAATGCATGGAAAATTACCAATTAAATCATTAAAAACATGTAGAAAATATGTAAATCCGCAGCTGTAAAACCCAACACTCACACATTTAACCACTAAAAAACAAAGTAAACAAAAGTCTATTCCTCGAAACGTGTTTTACAAAAAAAACAGTGCAGCACCGCGCAAATCAAAATGAATAAAACCCCCGCGTACAATTTTCGCGAGCAAAATTCCTCCCCCAACGACCTTGATGTAAATCGATAGTCCTCCCAAGGTCCATTGTTGGCAGTGATCTCGCGGAAGAAAGTGAATCGTGATCACCTGAATGCCATAACGCATAAAGAAACATTAGAGTGGATATCAAATGGACTAGAGCCACAGGGTTCGCCACACAATAAAGTCGGCCTTGAGTGTTCACCTTAGCGCGGCAACCCGAGGGGAAGAGAGACCCGTCGAACGTGACTCCTCTCGCGGAATCGTGCATCACGGTGCCCCAGCAAAATTCGCGAAAATTGTCCAAATGACGCAAAGACAATTCCCCGAGCTGTGGAAAAACTGTCTAGCCCCCGTCATTTTCATTCTCAAGCGTTGAATAAATGCTCGGGACCTCGCTGGGACTGTTCAATTCACCAGGTGTATTTTCACAGTGTTGAGACCGCTGGGTGAATACCACAATTCCTGTATCGAAGGAAAGTTGGCCTCCTCTGGCCAGTGTACGAGGCGTATAGCAATTTCAAACGGGGATATTGGTATAAGAGCACAGGAACGGGGAGTTGCTCGAGATAGTCCGGCATAACGCACCACACCCAGTCTTACACAGCTACGGAGACATGGAGATACCGATCAGATTTATTGTGAGTTTTATTTTTCAACATTTCGTCATTCAAATCACTAAATTCATCATCTCCATTTCAATTCCCCCAGAGGCTCATTCTTATTCATCCCCCAATTATACTCACTCTTCCTCATTTTTTTAAGCCTTCATTTTTTGTTCATTTTGCGTTCATCTCTCAACATTCCCCATTGGGCTTTTCCCCATTTCTGCGTCAACGATTCACTCATTAATTTTATTCCACTCTCAATTTTTTGGAATAAGTTTCGCGCGATCATATATTTTCAAAAGAACGAGGCCAACGAAACCCGAAAAACATGAATTAAAGATGATAAATTAACTGCATAAAAATCCACATGCAACAGCTAATTGAAATTGAAACAAAAAGAGAAATAATTTACGATATTTTTCTCCTCATGCACATCGTGGAGTCATTAACAGCACGAAAACCAGGTGAACTATGAAATTGTTATTTTAATTCTGCCCATAAAAATATAAAATACTTTTGCATTTGTTGCGTGATCGCGAGAAAGAGAAAGTTGCATTTCACAGGTGTCTTGACAATTCGGGTAATGTCTCAATGGGTCTAATACACCTATTGCCCTGAATTAAATACACCGAGTTAACTTCTCGCTGTTCTGAAATTATTTTCACCTGATTTTAATCACAATTACGATGCGCGCTCTACATATCGCTGAGTTAATCTCCCGTTACGAGAGAAATTCCTTCGATTGTTCGAGCTCTCTGCAATGAAAATAATTGAGGATTATTGAGGTTGAGGTTTAATCGTAATTAGGAGGATGATAATGTTAATTTCAGTCCTCACGGGCCTCCCCCCACTCTACGGCGACGATTAATGCCAGCAGTTAGAGGAAAATTCAATGGTTTCGTACGACTGTTTAACGGAAAGGAGAAAGTGATTTAAATGTAACGCACGGCACGTGCCCCCCGCGCGTTTTTATTCCACCCCCCCCCCCGTCCCACCC